ATCTGTTTTCATGTCTCCAGGTTATTTAATACATATACGTTATGAAGTGTTATTTAAAGAGTTTGTCCAAGTGATCTCTTTTCAGGGGAAAGAACTGGAGAGATAGAGCATCAGGGTGCATAAACAGAGCATCTTTAACATCACGTAATTGGACCAGAGTTATATTTCTTTCTTATTCCCCATTAAAAGTATAACATCCTATTTACTGATTGGTAAGTTAGTGTTTCCTGAGCTAAACTGTCCAGAGGAAGTACTAATTTGCACATTTTTTTTGCCATTTCTTTTTTCTAGAGGTCAGCTGAAGACATTGGAGTGACCCTGCAGCGTCTGTAGATCATCTCCCTCTGATCTGGATGCGTCCCTGCACCCTGACCCCCACCCACCCCCACCTCTCTTCATATGGGTGTTTAATCGCCACCTATTTATCCCGCATGAGAACTTTTCTTTCAACTTGTCTTCTTTTTTTTTTTCTTCTTCCTTCCCTGTTAGGGGAGATTTCAGGAGTCTCCCCCCTCTACACACACAAAAACGCATTTTTAATCCTTAGAGTCAAAACGCATGTGTGCGTGTCTCCGCGTGGAGAATGATTTAGTGATGTTTATCAGGAATGAATAGATCAAAGGGAAGTTGCATGACAGGCGATCAATCAAGCATCAAATCAGGGATGGCAATCCCAGAGCGGAAATACGCGACCTTTCATTATGTTCAGGCGGGTCAAACATGTTGGGGGGAAAAAAAGGATTTGATTTTAAGTTTTTTTTTTTGTGGAACTTGAACTGGAAAAGTTTACTGAATGATTTCTGGGGAGTATAGCGTAGTTCTGCGTGGGTTGCTGGGAAACAAACAAAGCAAAACAAACAAAAACAATAAAAGTATCTGTGCAGAATTGTGCGTGTTTGCGCATGTTTGTTTGCAGAGCCGGGGCTTACCTGCTGACCGCCGCGGTGCTTGCTGCTTTCTCCTCGGCATGCTGCTGCTGCTGCTGCTGCTGCTGCTGCTGCGGGATTTTCCGCTTGACTGTTCATGCAGAGATCAAAACAACGGACCGAGCTGGAAGCGAAGGAAGCTGGTTTTATTCAAAAGGGTAAATCCCCTTAAAAGGGCGAAGAGTTTCAAAATCAGTGCGTCTTTTTTGTGCGTATTGGTGATATGGGGTAGAAATTGTTAACTTCGTCCGATTAGGGGAAAAAATAAAAACTCCAGGAAGGGCTGATGTGGTTTGGTTCAGATTTCAGACCAGTTCCATCCGATCAAACGCGCTCCGGGTTGTGCTCCAATCGGAGGACCGCATCCTCTGCTCGGAGGAAAGGAGTCCAAACTGCGGGGCTGGTGCCGCGTGTCTCTGCGCTCTCGCCGCCCTGCGCGCGCTCTCCAAGGCTGCGCTGCGAGGAGGAAAATCGGTAAAGGAGATCTGGGGTGAAAAGGGAAAGAAAAAAAAGAGTGACACGCTTAAAGCGGACAGGGGTGTATGTCAGTCAGTCAAACGCGAGTATTGAGAGTGCCGAGCCCCCCCACTCCCCCCCACCCCTCCCCCCCCCCCCCCCCTTCCTCTCACTCCCGCCCCCACCTGGATAACAACATACTCACATAACACCGTCCGATTGTCAAAACACGGACACTTGGAAATTTCTCTGAAACTCGTCTGGTCTGTTCTTCTTGTTGCTTCCTGTTCTTTTATTACATCTAACGCGCTTCAGTTGAAAACAGAGAAGTAGGAACGTTCCTTCTGAACGCAGAGAGGGCAAAAAAACGTGCGCGCATCGCCTTCAGACGACTCCTTCTGATAGACAAGACACATCCAGCTGCCTCTCCAGGCCCCTTCTACTGTTACTCCACCCCCCTCCTCGCGACAAACGTCACCCTGACAGTCAGAGCCCACCTGTCAATCTGCAACTCTAATTATTGGAAGGTGGGATGGCTCAGCAGGGTTGGAGAGGTGCGTCCCTGGCGCGCGCGAACAGTACAGGGGAGAGCATGGGCGCACCTCTAAAACCAGTCAGACAAAAGAATGAGAAGCGCCACAAGATAAACTAAAAGTTTGTTAAAATGTCAATGTAAACTCTTATTTGCAAAACATCTGGGGTGTTTTATTCTATTATGATTCATCATTTAACATGAAGTTATTTAAATCTGTTCATTTTAAGCACTTTCAGCTGTAAGCTATATATTTTTTAACCACTTATTTGAAACATTTGAAGGTTTGAAACAAGGGTGTAACTTTGTGATGAAAGTCTAAGAGTGGGGGCTGATGGACCTACAGTTACTCAACACAAACGCTTTCAATAGAGTTTGTATTTTCCAAAATTGAGCTCAAACATATTTATTGACTGCTTTCCTATTGTTGAGAACACAAAAGAACCAATATACACTGATATTTATATCTATGGGTAGTTAGACATTAATGTATATTAAAAAAGGATGAATAACAGCCGATTCCGATGCCAACAGCAATATATCATGCCTCCCTAGTATGCAGACAAGTTCAGTTTCATTCATTCAGAAAAATGTGGATTGATTGATTGGATGTTTTCCCTTTCAGCTACATTAGTGATTAGACTCCTTCAAAAGCAGCAAAATCACATTTAAAAATTTGTCCCACTTACTGCTGAGAGCCAGAGTCTATTGAAATAATTGGTGGGTTACTTTAGCGTGACGTATTATTCATGAGAGTACTTGTTGTTACTTTGTCTGAATAACCAATATGTGTACATCATCCCTCCCAACCAGGTATAGATCTGACCAATGTTTATTGATTCCTGCTTGTATATTATTCAAATAAATACACTAAAACCTGAAAAAAATAAATATATTTGATTTAAGTTTCAATGATGGTTTCTAAATATAAATTAAATGTTTACCAGGGAAAAAGACACTTAAAAAAAGCTAAATTCTAACAAGCTTTTTAAAAATCTATACTCCTTTTTGTTTGACAATAGAAAGTACTTTTGGTTCGGCACCACTGGGACAGTTGTTTGTTTGCCATGACAGATGGTTGCTCATATTGAGTCTGGTTCTGCTGAAGGGTCTTTCTGGTTAAAAATGAGGGGTTTTCTCTCACTATCATCGTATGCTTTGCTCAGGAGGAGGAATGCTGCAAAGTCAGTGACTCAACCAGCTTCTTTAGATTGAAAATGTCCTTTTAACAATCACATTTTAATGGTTACCAAATTACAATGTATGCTATTGGATCTTATTGTAACAACTGGAATCTAAATTGATCTGAATTATATTTGGACAGAGCTCACTTGTAAAACTAAATGTGAGTTTTCTGCCTGTAAAGCGACTGAAATGAATGAATATTTTCTGATTTGGTGTTTAATAAAAACAAATCATTTAATTGTATGGTATTGAATTTTAAGTAATTATTAAGAAAGCTCCGGTCATCTTGTCCCATGTAAAACACATAATCTTTATGCTTCTCTTCAGCAATGAAAAACTGTTAACTAAACAAACAACTTAAGTCTAATCAAAGTGTGTTGCTTTGTTTTTGTACAAATGCGTTAAAATCTATTTAAAAATTAAGATCTTTTTTTGCTCATCTTTCTCCCCTTTCAAAATATCTTTTGATAATATGATCACGGACGCCACAAAGAAGTTTTCATCTAACAGGATACAGTAATACTGATTCAAAAGCTCTGCACTGTCAAAAATGAATTCAAAATCTTTATAAATAGCTATATGTAAATCAATATTTTTGGACAAAAAAATTAAACTTTGGGAGCTGAAATTTACAAAAGCTATTCCCCAAAATGTACAGTATTGGTTTAAGAACCATCTTATTATCACAGCATCAGATGCAGTGGCGGTTCTAGACCAAATGTACCAGGGGCCCGGAGGGGGCCAGCGTGTTTTTATGGGGGCCCAGAAAAGCATAAAATAAAAAAACAGGGCAAGGGATTCAAATATATTGAGAGAGCTCCATGAATTGAAATTTATATTCAGTTAGATTTAATTAAAATTATATGTCTTATTAGGTCAATATGCATTCAGAATTTAGGAATTATACATATTTTTGACTTAATTTAAGCTAAAATTACCATTTTCTATAAAACCTGAATTATAACTTAAGAAAAGCTGAAGTTCAGCTGCAAAAATTAGAGCATATTTTTTTTATTTGTTTTGAAAAAAAAAATTAGCAGATGAAACTGGAATCCTATCTCAAAACTACTGAAGCTATCACGTTATTGTTTTTAAATAATTAGTAAAACAGAATTTGTAAATGAAATAGATCCAAAGGATCTATCAGTAACCATGTCTGTTCCAGCGCATGTCATCATTAGAATCTGAGTATTATGTCTTCAGCAAAAGGGGCCATAACAGGGGGGCAGGACATGATCTACAGGGGCCCTGTGGCCCCCGTCTAGAACCGCCCCTGTTTAGATGGTACTAAAAAAAAAGCAAAATATTAGACCTGTTCTAACAAGATGGCATGGTCATATTTTTTCCTAAAAAACGCAGTTAAGTTTTACTTCAGCATTTTTTCCTGTCACTAAAATAGTTTCATTAGAGTCCCTAATTTTCAGAAAGTTGATATGCTGATTCATAATACAGCAAATTAAAACGTAAAAGCAGAAAATCCACATTCTAAATTAAAACCTACAAAAAACTTATAGGTAATGAATTAGCTAATGTTATAATTCACTTAAAGCCAAACAACACTACTGTAAATAATTATATTCTGGATATGAGCTAAAATAATCCTAATGCGTAAAATTTCATGACTTCCAAAAGAAAAATAGTTTTTACAGTGTACAATTTGATTTTATTAGTGATTATTTTTAGCCATACCTGGCTTATAAATTAGATCATCATCCTGACTCAGGCTGAAACCTTAGTTTTACAAATATGCAACATTTTAAAGCTTTTTCACAAAAATCCTGAAACAGTTTTGCACCTTTGGCGCACATGTTGCTTCTCAGTCTCAAATTTTAAAAGGAGGGAAAAAAAGAAGACATTGTGTAAATTTTCAGCGACCTCGTTATTGGGACAAAGGAGGCTGCAGATCGATTCGTTACACCTTTTTAGCGAGGCTTTTGGCAAAGGGGAGGGGCTCTGGAGCCACTGTAGGCACCATTAATAGCCTCCTCTCCGTCCTAACTATTATACACGATAAAGTGTTTATAAAGAGCGACCAAGTAGAGCAGTAAAAGTGTTTCAAATGAGACTGAGATGGTGGTAAAGAAGAGAGGAGTAGCAGGACTAGAGGGTGGATCAGATTATTTTCTCTTTAAATAATCCCTGGGACTGCGTCAGAATTACAGTTTTGCGCATTACGCACCGGACTTTTCCCCCTTTTTCTGCCTTCGGTTTTATGGATTCTCCTCCAAACGGAGGCGAAAACTTTACCCGGTTCAAATTCTGGTGAGTTTCTGTTTTCACTGTCCTTTAGCTGATTTAAATCCCTCTCTGGGTCTGGTTATCAGATCGTGTGCGCTCAGGAACATGTCCAATGCGTGCTGGGGAAAGAAACGCTAAAGTACCGCCCCAACATGTGTCTGTCAAAGCGGCCCGCGCGCTGATTGATGAAGCCAAACTACGTCACTGATGTTTCCATCAAAATGTGCAGAGAAAGAAAAGCTGCGGAATCAGATCATCACGTTTTCACTATTATAACTGCTCATTATGGGTCAGATGGATTACTGTTAAAAAGGCTTTAATTGTATAGATCTGTTAAAGGAAAACTGCAAACCTAACTTTCTCTGCAGTAGTAGTTTTTTTCATACCACAAAATATATCAAACATGTAGAAAATATTTTTTGCACATAACTGCATTACCTTACAAGTTTGTTCAGCAGCAGACCAATGGTAAACTTAACTTTGATATGTAGCCAGCAATGCAGAGAGGATGGGTAGGTGGAGGGTTTATAGCGTTTGTCAAACACCGATACAGAAAAGATTTGTAGGATGTAGGCTACTAAAAATGAAAGGTTTTCTAATGTTCTTATGCTCATATGGTTTTCTTTTATGTGCTCTGTATGTCTGTGCTCTGAATATGACTACATGATATATAAAAAGCCTTTAAAGAAATCCTACTTTTACTCTAGTTGGATTCAACAAAGGAAAATTGGGAACAAACCAAGCTTTGATTTTAGCACATTTAATGAGTTTGAAAAGCATCCCTCATTGTAAAAAAAAAAAGATGCTTTTAAACACAACTTTAATGCTTTTACAAAAACACAACTTTAACTTTTCCCATATAATAAATCTGGTAGAAATGCATTCGTAATTGCTCACTTAGTGATTGCTTGCTTTCTTTCTGCAAAATAATGATTAAGGCCCATTTCTTTAAACACTCTTCAAGATGGAAAGCATAAGAGAACATGCCGTTTAAGTGAGGCAGAATGTTAAACTGATGCTAGACTAAACTTTAAGATGTCTATATGGGATAAATTGCAAATGATTGATCAAGTTAATAGGAGAACTGAAACTGAAAAACAAAGAAAAGCTGAATGAGATCAGCTATTGAAAAAATTATTGTGGATGGTCCTCTATTTTACTTTAGTTTATCTTGAAGTTAAATTTTTTTAAAGTTATCTGCAACAGAAACAGCTGCAACCCTCACTTTTGTTAAACGTGTCCATATGTAGACTAAAACAAAAGCCCAACAAACCCTGAACAGTCTTTTCGGGTTGTACCCGTCACCTTCTACTTTACACATGAAGCCCCTGTTCCGTGGAACCGCACTGGCATGGTGTCAGCATGTTGACATGCAGCCCCTGTTTCCTGCACCACCATCCCCCGTCCCCTTAGGGCGGGTAAGAACATATGTGTCCTCGTCATGTATATATCCACATACATTAAAGCTGAACCTGTTTTGTTTCTGTCCTCTGTCTTCGCAGCTCTCACACAATCATGCAGAGAAAAGGATATGCTGCAGAGAAGTCCTGTATGCAGGGTGTCAGATCAGGTGGGGGGAAAAAAGTCCATACTGTCATATTTTGATTTGTAAACTCCTCTGTCTGATATGTAATTAAAAAAACTTGTGATTAAAACAGAAGTAGATCAAAATTAAAATGTCTTCCTTGTCACATGTTGAGCTGTTTTCCACATTTTGTGTCAATTTTTTTTTCTTCCTTTTGTTTAACCATCTATAACTAAAAGAAATATTTGTAAAGCCTAACGAGCATTTAAAGTGAAAGAATAAAGCCAACATGTTTCTGCCTTGATGTCTCTGCGTTCGCATTTTGTTGGATTCCTCACACGTGCCTATGTGTGTTCCTGTTGACGCAGAACACACACCTCAAATGAAGACGAAGAAATGTTTCAAAGTCCTCCTTTCTTCTTTATCTCTGCTACCTTTTCATCATTTTAAAACTATTTTGCTTCTCTTTGTCTTATAAGTTTCAATCAGAGCTCCAGACTAGCACGATCTCTTCTTTTTTTAATATTCAAACACAAACCTGAGTGAAAAGCTGCAGCAGATTTAATTTGTTTGTGTTCACGTTTGACAGCAGCTAATGAGTCAAAAACCTTCTTCAGTCCTTTTAGGAAATATAAAAAGATCTGCTGTATTACTTATTAAAACATTTCATTTTTGGTAATAAAGAGAATTATATTGAGAATAAATCATACAAATAAAAACTATTTAATGCCATCCTCTTTCTCTTAATGTTCAGAAACTGACCAGTAGCTAATCACCTCAGCATTTGCAGAATTAACCTTCTGGTTTTGAACCGCACACTTTCTCTCAATGCAACCCACAGGTTCAATAACTCAAAAACATCTTCAAAATACCTTAACAGCTCCTTTTGCAGCTTATGATAATACCTTTCTTTCTAATCTTGAATTATCTTGAGTTCGTGATTGGTCTTATCAGATTCCATCCTTTGACAGACTGAATATAGGAATATACAATAAGAAATTAATAAAGAAATGGCTCTAACTTTGACATGAGCTCTATCTCAACATCTTTGAGATAAGGTTTTCTAATTAAAGTGCCATATACTGCAAGTATGGAGACTAAGAAAAACAAAAGAAGGATTTTTAAATGTCTGATATATATATATATATATATATATATATATATATATATATATATATATATATATATATATATATATTTATTTGTGTGTGTGTGTGCATTTAACATCTGGAGATGTACATTTCCATCACTTATTTATCCTGAGATAGGATTATGTGTTGCTGTTGGTTTTGACAATGCAATTAAAGGTTTTTAATCCCCAATACAGATCAACTAAAAAAATAAAATCTGAGATAAACTAAAATAATCAGAATAAGTGCAGCACTATGACTGCACTTACAGTATTCAGGTAATTAAAGTATTCTAACCTCTATGAGATGAAGATTGTAAAAAAAGAAAATCAAGCTGGTTTACCTATAATTTCAAATGATGCATATGTAAGTATCAATTTGTTATAAGATTTTTACATTTAGATGAATAATAAACTGGTAGCAGATGTTTTGTAGTGAGGCAGGTGTTGTGATACAAACATCTGACTCATGCCTGAGCTTTTACTCTGAACAGCAGGTTAGGTTACTCTGCTTTCTTTAAGTCACTGGACGATGCACTAAACTAGGACTGAAACTTTTAATCAGATTCAACGTGATTAATCGATTATTACAATAATCGTCTACTAATTTAGTAATTGATTAATGGTTAACTGGAGTATAGAGACTCTAAAACATGCCTTTAGCTGATAGAACGAACCACTTAGATCAGTAGTTATATCGAAATTGTAAAAAACATATATAAAGATTTTGCGTTTAAGATAAAGAAAAGTTTTCAGCTGTCAATATTCTTTATCCAGAACTCCTGAAGTTGAATAGTTTAAGTTTAACCTGGTTTAAATCTGTAAAAAAAAAACAACTCTTCTTTAAGAAGCCTTTGGCTGTCTGGTTATTAATTGAAAAAATAATTGACGGATTAATCGATTTGATAAATAATCGTTAGTTGCAGCCCTACTTTAAACTTGACCCTGTCTGTGTTGGTTCTGGGGGACTCCAATGCTTAATCATGATGTTACCTATAGTGGTCATATTGGGGATGTGGCCACTCCCTAATCTGAATCTAAGTGGACGTTTTTTAATAGAACTTTCTTTGCAACACACTGGACATCAGTAGCACACAAGGTTATCCAGTACTGTGCTGTTTAAACCAGTTTGCATCAGATCTGTTATAAACACTTGGGGGAAAACAGAAGAGCAGACCTGTTTACTGGTCAGCATCAGGATTTTGTGTTGGATGTAGTGGCAAAGAAGGCTTCCAGGGAGACCTGGCAAACCAAAATGAATGGTGAGAATCAGCAGGAGAATATTTAGAAAAGCTTGGTAGATCTAAACTATCATCTTGGGGGGAGTTACTCGCATTGGCACCAGTCCTAACGTTTACACTGCAAAAAATTGAAATCTAACTAATTTTTTCTTAAAATAAGGAATGGTGTCTTGAATTGAGGAGGTTAGTATGACACTTTGGCAATGGAAAAAGACAATTTACTTTTAAAATAAAAAAAACAACAACTGCATTGTCTGCCATTGCTTCTAATTATCTCACTTTAAGAGTAAATATATCAATTCCATTGGCAAATAATCATATTTACCTCCTGAAAGTAAGGGTAAATACACTTGATTTAAGAATTTCTAGATCAATTTTGCAGTGTAGGGAGATTAGTGGTGATTAAACTTGTGTGGATGAAGGATGTCTAGGGGGAAACAAGTAAAAGCTGGGTGGTGGCCAGAAGCACTGCAGTGTCTGTTGATGCAAAAGCAAAATCTGGGGGAAAATCTCGGCTTCAAGTTGGGCTGAAGGGAGATTTGCAAAACCATTTGATGCCTTACGGGTAAAACAGTACCCACATTTTGCTAATAATAATTTGGTCAGTTGAGGTGGTTCGTGCATCTGACTTAGATGACTCCTAGGCTCCTCCCACAGGGAGTTTTCTGGGTTTTTGAGGCCGCCAGGATAGACCCAGAAACGTGCTGGCAGTACTATATATCCAATTAGGAACACCTTGAAATCCCTCAGACAGAAACTGAAAATGTCTTTGCAGAGAGAGATGACCATTAATGTTATTATTCTTTATTAGGTAAATACAATGGTACTGTGTGGATATATTTATAGTAAAGGTACAGTAAATTAGATAAATCTGAACCCTAACACTTCCAAAAACGTTTATTTACATTATAGCCTAAAAAAATGTCCTGTTAATTAGTTAACAACAATGTTATTACCAACCATACATAAACTGTTAATAAAAATAATTGATTTTAAAAATCTAAATAAAATCTTCCATTAGTTACAGTGAGAAAGAGTTAAAGCTGACTGTTTCTAGGGATCAGTTCTTCATTATTGTACAATATTTAGCTCATCGCTGCTTATAACTGGCTGAAAATTATGCATAGTGTGCTCATAGCTTCATTGATAATGCAATACTGTTTCTAAATGCTCTTTAGGGAGTTCCTATTGTTAACCAAATAAGAACATGAGCTCCACCGTGTCTCACCACACCCCAAAGTTTTACAGAGACAAATTTTCTGCTTCCCGAAACAACTTTGCTGAAATTCCAGCTGGGATTAACAAAATGACATATTCACATTTCCCCTTTGACATACACACACACATGGTTCCCTCTCCTCCTCCCTTGGCTTTTGTTTTCACTGACACATGCACTCCAATTAGCATTTTTTTTGCCATTAAGGATGAAAGAAAGACAGCCAAATGTTTATCTTTTCAAGCGCTATTTTTTCTTTTTCTCTAACAAGTTTCTTGAGTTTGTATTTTCTTAAAAATGAAATATTTCTCCCAGTGTTGCCATGATCTTGTTGATATAAGAATAACTTATTTATTTGCCATTTTCAAAATAAAGTCATTTTTGTTTAACGAATAATTAAGATGCATGAGGGAAAACAACCAATTAGAATAATTTTTACCTCCAGTCGCATTTTGTAAACCTGTTAAACATTGTCGTTTTGAAAACTTCACAGGATGGCTCATCTTGTAGAGCTCTGTTAAACCTTTTCCGTTGAAAATTTCACAAAGGTCTCATCATGCTTAGCTAAACTTTTTTTATTTTGTCATTATTTCTGTTGCGTGTCAAATTAGGGCATCCTAATCTCAGGCTTTATACTCAAATATAAATCTGTGAATCTCAAATTGCCCAGATCCTCTTGCTGGGGTTTCGGCTGCTGAAATCTGTCACAGCCTCTGGTATGCTGCACATTAGGGAAGAAAATGCTCTTAAAAAATGTGCTTTCCTGACATTAACATGACTTGTGTGCCTGGGCGCCGCTCGATCTGTGCAGTTCCAGGCGTATATTTATGAATAGGAACCTTTAATTAGGGCTTGTGTTTCCTCTCTAGTCACATTGAGGGATGGTCCTCGCCGACATTCATTAATGATAATCACCAAGAGCGATGGCATAGCTACAGGCCAAGTCTCGGGGGACCCGACACTTGAAAAGAAGCATTAAATTACACAGAGGGACTCTTTAATTGCAAAAAGGAAAATATATAGCCATCATTGTTAAATATGATCTTTTGTAAGCCTTTACTAGTTCAAGGATTTGTCTGAGGGGATTTCTTATCCTCACACTGTTTTAAATAGATCTTCACTAACACACCAAAAAGCAGACTTTACTCTCATTTACCTTAAAAAGAAGCCTTAGCTTCAGGTGTATAGTTGTATTTTATAATTTCTTTTTGGAATACATGGATCAAAATAAAAATAAAAAAAGAAGAAAAATCAAGGGCATTATTGTTCATAAACACCTTTTTGGTGAGTTTGGTGTTGCATCGTGCTGAGACAAAAAGCAATGAAGGAGACACACAAAAAAAACTTTAAATCTTATTGCATTTATTATTAAAACTGGATGACTTTATGCTTTTTTTGATCAGACCCCTGTTATTAGTGTCGCCTGGCAATAAATATAAATCAACAAAAAGTGTAGCAGGCATTT